AGAAAGTCGTCTTGTATCACGAAATCTTTTCGAACCAGATGTCGAGAATGGACCATTATCTGCGAAATCATTTTCCTCTCCTTCACTTTAAAATTAGTAGATTTAGCTGTGTATTTCCATGAGTTGAGACCTATTGAGACCACCATATAGAGTCATCGCTCTGTTATTATCGAAAACAGCTTCTAGAAAGTTTTGTATGAAAAGAAGTAAAAAAAAAAAGAATAAAGCTCTTGGCGTTGATCAATCCCTGAGGGATGAGCAATGCATTCCACTTCATTAAGCATCGTTTGGAGGTGACTGAATGAACATCTGACCTTTACAATGACTGGCGGTGGCCTACCGATGTGTCGACCCAGTGCTACTATCCTCCCAGACAAATCCGGTAGGAATTTGCCGATCCCGGAAGGATGGAAGGCTTGGTGGTCATTGGTATGGGGACCGATTCCACGTGTGTTGCTGGGCGTCTCCAACCACTGCTCCACAGGTGCCCTTTATGAAGATATATGAACCATCAAACGTAGTATTAGTCAATCATTTCGATGGGTGGTTTATTTGATCTTATGACTATATAACATTTCGAAGAGAACAGCAACAATGTACGGAGGAATTCCCAGGATTGGCGTATATGAATCTCTGCATCGATCAATAAGTCGTTGTTTTCTTAATGATCACACACGACGTCGTTGCTAGACTACCTATCTGTCCATCAAAGCTGACGTTTTGCCGGGATTCTGTCTTCTTTAGCGACTGGAAAGGTGAAGTTAACTGCAACTTAATCACCCATACACCTCCACAACCCTTACAGGAAAATCACGAAACCTGGATTCCAATCGCATTGAGAGAGAAAGAACTTCTTTACACATTCTCCGCTTCCCATGAGTCTTCCACTGAGTGTCTCACTTGGAGACCAAGCGCACAGACTTCACATGGATATGTAATATACCTTTCTCACCTGAAAATATCAGCCTTAAATACTTTGTGAGGTCATGCGTGATAACGAGTCATTCTTCTCTGTAATTCATTTTCGGGTTCCTGGAATTTGTACAGAATGCCTCGAGAGTTTTACGCAGTATACTTTTCCGCTGCTGTGCGTGGATGGTAACTACTACTTCAAAATTTTCTCCACTATTGCTCTGCATGTGGCGCAGTGGTTGGAGGCGCCATTGCAACACACACGTGGAATCGATCCTCGTGTCCATGGCCTACCAAACCTTCCATACCTCTGGGGTCGGCAAATTGGTACGTGACTTGTCTGGGAGGAAAGCACCACTGGCTCGATACATCGGTAGGCCACCACGAGTCATTGTGAAGGCTGGATATGCATCCAATCACCTCCAACGATACTTAATGAAGTTGAATGCATGGCGCATCCCTCAGGGATTTATCAACGCCGAGAGCTTTATCCTTTTTTTATGACTCTGTGTCCTATACGAGCCTAGTGGAGTGTTTTGTTCAACTTTACGCTTCCAGTCCAGGTGTTCTTTTGTACGGCCACATAGTGGTCTACCCTTTTCGTTAACACAAGAACTTGTAATCTTACCATAATGATAATGTCACTTACAAACTGCTTACGTGCAAGCACAATAGGGAACAATATGACCCATTATTGGTTCACACTTCCTCTCGCTTTTTTATGTGGTCTATGATTCTTTCCTGTATTTTTTGCTTTGAGCGATAGATTTCTTTCCGTCAATCTTACAAATGTCTTATTCAGAATAACTTTACCTCACAAACTTCACAATCTACAAATTTTATGATTATTTTTTAAACAATCTAAGCGGCTGCTAACTTTTTATTTACTGCCTACTACAATTTTTCACGGCACGGAATCATGCGAAAACAACCACAGTGAAGCCGAGATATTTGAGATAGAGATATAAACTTCGAACCGCAGATGTCTGCGGTGGGGATTGAACACGCCATTACCATTTCCAGAGGTTGACGCGTTCACCACCGCACCATGCGGGTTCGTCGTTCCGTCTTTCTCCCTGCTATTATACTATCTACTAGTGCTATTATTCATCATTGTAGTTGTAATCTAAGCAGAAATATTTCGTACATCAAACATCCTCAGTCTTGATACTCTCGCCGGTGTAGCTGCTATTCCAGAGTGGTTATTACTTGCTGAATTCTTATAGCAGTTAGAATAACTTCTTTACCTTTTATCCGACCATGAACCAGAACATTCAAGAGCATAAAAGTCAAAGCCTAAGTGTTCTAGCACCCTGAAGCCAACTGATCAGATTTTGTGTTAAACCCGTCTGACGGAATTCTCTGCACAGTCTTACAGTGAAATCCTGTGTTTTGACCAAACACGTCTGAGTGTTTGCTCTACTTAACCATTCATCGCTAATTTTATCTTCATTCTCATCAAATCTGCCAGAGCTTTCAGATTTTTCTTTTTCTTCAGAGCTAACGAGGAGAAGCACACTAGATCCTACATTGCTCTTAGTCGTGTCAATTTATCGTTAACTTCGGTGAGTAATCCAATAGTGCATTCGTGACACTACCAACTGTACGTACTTATCCTAGTTTCTATTGGTCAAAATAAGCACGACCTGTAAGCTTACTTATTACACGGACCGACACCACATTTGCAGAAGCCAACATTTTCTTCATCCATTTCGTTGTGTCGTATCCGTCAGACCCTAACGTCTTCGGATTTGCATGTAGATTCGACTAATGCTTAAGGATTTACTCTTTTTCACCAATGTTGTTAGATGCAATTAAGTTGGTTCTCTCCACAATTCTAGGATAGCGCTACTAGGGTGCCTTCCGCATAAAAAAAACAGTCGCTGACAATTGCGAATGAGAGAGAGGGAGCTTTGCACTAGCAAGTCTCACACCAATTTTACGATTCTGGAAGAATGGCATGCTTAGTTGGTTGAACCAGTAATCTGGTCCGTAAAAGAAGGAAATCACCTCCCCGCTAAGATAACTATATGATTATTTCACCATGATCAAACTTCGCCCTCGAAACGAAGAAACGCTTTACGTCGCTAAACCGCGTATTTCAAGCAGTGAAACAATTGAACAGACGTGATCTCTCATCCAACAACTTCATGATGGCACACTCGAACGTCATTGTGAACATTGGTTGCTGCTGACTCCGCGTTACAAGCGCTTACTTGGATATGTAGATGGCCCGTTCTTACTGGATGTGCGAACCGCAACATAAATTCCGTTCTCCGCAGATTTGCTGACCTGGCTATTGCGGTTCTCTGGGATTCCAATGCTAGCCTAGCCAAAGTCTTCGTGAGGTCGTCACCACCACAACCAGTCGCCGTTTTTGTGGATCAGACGGAGGTTCGCCACCATGCGACTAGTTTGATGCCAGAATGGTGGTGATTCCTCGTATTGGTTTACTCTTAGTTGAGCTTTTGGATGGGAACGTAGAACTCTTTCTCAGCTCGGAGGATCCAGCTCGGGGATGAGCCGCTGCTGCATCGCAGTCTGACACTTAGGAACACTTCGCATCAACGATGAGCGGGTAAACCTTTAGGAAACCGCGCTAACATTAATAAAAACTTTATTTTCTTACAATTTCAAAAAACTTTAGACAAGAAGTTCAAAGTATACAAATAACTGAAGAAAAGAACAACAAGGAGACCATGTAGAAAAAGTGGAGTGTTACAAAAAAAAAATGGAGAAAAACATGGAAAACCCGAAGAACAGCGCAAAACGACATCAAGTCGATTTCCTCTGTGTATGGAAATCCATGAACTACATATGTTTTACATATTGCAAAGAATTGTTCTGCTCTGATGTGACTTCAAATGCTGCTCAGCACTCGTAGTCGGAAACAGCGAAGAACAATTCTAACTGACTAAATTGATAGACTACTAGCAAAACAACGAAATTCCTGAACTTTTCGCAATTTCTTAGATTAATCCGAAGAGAAGTAAGCCACATCAGATGATTTGACTTTGTTTAACACAACCGGATATTTGGTGTTTGTCTTCAAACGAGGATTTTCTATGGTCAAGAAGAGAATAGCTACCATTGTTAATCAAAATAAGTAAGAATCATACAACTAAGACGGAACAAGATGTTCTTCAGATGCTGACGCCCTATTTTAAACAATTTTGCATTTTTAGTTTCATGTTAGCAACCTGATGGATGTACATATGGTTGTTGTAAGAGAGAACAACCAAGAACAATTAGCAGAACAAGGAGCGACTCATTCTTTAAGCATTTTCACATGTCACTACTCCACTCTGCACTTTTTAGACAGGTGCTGACCAGTGTTCTTACCACCTCCGCACTCATTTTGACTTAACTTCTTCCTTTTCTTTTCCTGGACAGCTTGAGTATTCACTTCTTTCCAAACTCTATGAAACTTCTCAATTTTCGTCCTCATAAAGTCTTGTTTATGCTTCACTTTGGCCACGTTAGGTTCCTCTGACTGTTTACGATCACTTCGAACCATAGAACGCTTCTTCTTTTCCTTTTTAACGAAAGCAATATGTTTTCTCTTGGGAGCATGTCGTAATAACTGTTTCTTTTCATTCCTGAAAGAACTTCACTTTCAGAAAATTAATGAAAATGGAGTCTAGCAAAGAAACAAATTGGAGCACTCCGAATACAGAAAACTATGGTGAGTCTAGATACCGCATTATAAAGCTCTAAAGTACTCGGCTTTGATCAATCCCTGAGGAATGCGCCATGTATCCGACTTCATCAACCATCATTTGGAGGTGACTGAATGCTTATATTTGGCCTTTACAATGACTCGGGGCAGCCTACTGATGTATCGAGCCAGTGCTGCTATTCCCCCAGACAAGTTTGGTACCAATTTACCGACCCCGGAGAGATGGAAAACTTGGTGGGCCATGGGCGCTGGCATCTATTCCACGTGTGACCTGCAGGGCACCTCCGACCACTGCGCCATACGCGCCCGATACCGTATTAAATACATAGATAATCCTATATGAGAGATGCAGTAACGGTTAACCTTCTTACTCGCTTCGCCTTGTCATACTTTTGTTCAAATAGCTGAATTAACCCAGCAAAACTTGCCTGCTCAATGGCTTCAGACTTAACGTATACTCCGGTACTTCGAATCCAGCCTGATGGATTACGGTGGCGATTGATCGCAAGTACCTAGTGTCAGACTCAGTGAAGTATGTAACGGCGCGACCATGCCGACCGGCACGTCCTGTTCTACCTATGGATATCCATTGTTTATTAAACAGGAAACAGAAGGAACTATCCCTGAACAAACAAATCTGGACTCGACCGTTCGAAGAAAAACATGAGATATGAAAGCGAACAAGCAGTTGAAGTTTTTTGATTTTCTTTAATTTCTTGTATAACATTTAAAAAAGGAAATCCTTACCAATTCGATGGATATAACTGACGATGGAAGTTGGGAGATCGTAGTTTATAACAAGATTGACGTTACGCAGATCAATACCACGGCCCATTAGTTCAGTACAAATTAGCACCCAGACTTGGCCCAAACGAAATGACTCAATAACGGCTTCCCTCTAGATAAAATGCAAAAATCCCCTCAATATCACCATATGGCTCACCTCTGAACACTTACCTCACTTTGAGACTTTTCGCTACTAATAAAAGAGACAGGAATTGGTGGTGTAAGCGAGGACAACGCAATTAGGAGTTCACGAGCACGTTCTTTACTCTATAAAACAAAAAATCACCTAAAGGTGAAAAATCAGTTCTTAAGGAACAGTGCGTCGGGATAAAGTTACGAAGGATAAGGAGAATCAAACCATAACTTTGCTAATCTTGACGAATAACACCCATACCTGCACAAAGATCAGTGCTGGGGGTTCGAATTGAGTTTGGAGAAGGGTCCGTATGGCGACTAATTTACCATATTCCGAACCGGCAAACACCAACTCTTGCGTTACGTTAGCATTCGCCGAATTCCTAAACAAGCGGCAGACTCGAACAAGTTTTTCAATGAGGTGACGAAGCTTCTCAGCAACACACCTCTCTCCAATGCAAACCATTGCTACGTCGTTCAAATTCTCCTTACACCTAAACGTAATCATATTTAGAACTCAGAACTACTGTAGCCCAAAACGAACAAAGGTAAACGCACCACTCCTCCACTTCATATGAAAATGTAGCACTGAAGAACGCCCGGCGTGTGAACTTTCCATCACAGGCTTTGTATATGGTGGCTAGCTGAAAGCTCCTAAGATGGATATATAATCCGGTATAACATTGGATTGGCGAATTTACCCAGGCAAAATAACGAATCATAAAGAAAAGGATAAAGCTCTCGGCGTTGACCAATCCCTACGGGATGCGCCATGCATTCGACTTCATTAAGCATCGTTTGGAGGTGATGGAATCCGTACTTGGCCTTTACAATGACTCGTGGTCGCCTACCGATGTATCGAGTAAGTGCTGCTATACTGCCAGATAAGTCTGATACCAATCTGCCGACCCCGGAATGGAAGACTTGGTGGGACACGGGCGCCGGAATCAATCCCATGTGTATTGCACAGCACTTCCGATCATTGCGCCACAAGTACACGAATCAATGTGAAAATAATATCGTTGTCGAATAAATCCTTACCTGATTCCGAAAACAGCGCTCCTGTCCCTCGACAGCTTCAAATAATCGATCGCTTTCATCAACAACAAGCCATCTGAACACGCATTAGAACCAAAGTAGTAATTTAATTGATAGTTAGGTTATCATCAATACCAAAAATATGAGAAATTACAAGCCTCAGTGAAAGCGGTAAGAAGATACATTAAGATACTGACAGCAACAATTACCTAAGATATTTTAAAATGACATCTGGTAAATGATGAGTAAGGCGATTCGGTGTGGAAACCAAAATATCCACTAAAACAGATATATTGAATACTGCCAGGACTAAATCAAAAGAGCCATACCGTTTTTGGGTACATCTTCATTTTCGAACAAAGCAGGCCTCACGGGAAGGTGCTGGCCATATTTAAGAAACTGACGATAGGTCTGAAAATAGTGTTCTACAAAAGTTCTGACTAGAAACACCAAGATGGAAAAGATGACCTACCTGGGCTGCTAATTCCCTTGTAGGTTCTAAAACGATTGCCAGTAATTTGGAGCCATCTTTATATTTGACTAACTTCTTCAACCTCAGCACATCCAAAATTATTGGTATTGCAAAGGCGAGAGTTTTGCCGGATCCTGAGAAATGAGTTGTAAAAACTATCTAGAGTATGTCTTAACGTTTTCTTAACTGCCTATTCTTTTTTTTTCATGGAAGGATGTTATGTGAAGTACAACTACAAGACTGTTGAGATATAACGAAAACTCGGAATCTCAGATGCACTTTCAATCCGCGATTTCCGAGCTAAAGTGTTATCCACCGGACCACTGAGAGCATTGCTCTGCCTTTCTTTCAGCCAGTTGTCTACCTAACGGTACGATTAGTAATCATCCTTCAACGGGATCCATCTCGAGAGCACAAATCGGTACCGAACCCAGTTAAGCTAAAGCTCTAGCCGAAATCACAATGTTTCACTTTTATTTATTGCCTACTCTTTCTTTATCGCATGGTATTATATGACACACAGCCGTAGGGATGCAGAGCTCTAAGCAAACAGACTTACTATTTTTTTCATTCGCGTTAACGGTTGGTTGCTGATAGTACTGATCCAATAAAATCATGGCTGAAAGGAAAGAAAAAGCCTCGGTTGGTGAAGTGGACAACACGTGAATCCCCAGAGATGGTCATCGCAAGTACGAAACGAATGAGAGTCTAAGAGGTTTGCTGATACCTCAGTATTCTTGTGGTCGTAAGACACACAGCAGTTGCAAAATCGATTGTAATCCATTCGTGATACCAAAAAGAAGCGTAACATCAATAGATTGATTATGAAGACATCCCTACTCTATTGAAGAAACAACGAGCTAGTTCAAACCTGTCGGAGCACTTGCTAGAATATCTCGATGCATTGTCAGCAAAGGTATAGCCTAGAATTCGGAACGAATTAAATAAATTAGTCTAAAGTTCCGATCCACAGAAGCTTTATAGGCACTGGTGTACTCGCTAACCTGCATCTGTATAGGTGTGGGTTCTGTAACGCCGAACTCTTTCAGTGAAGACAACAAAACGCTTGGTAAGTTCAAGTCTTCGAAATCAATGAAAGGTTCAGGAATATCTTCGCCCCATGTGTATATGCGATTAAGGCGTCGGACTTGGTAAACCTAACACAAAACAATGCTAAATAAAGGATAAATAAATAATAAAGCGATTTTCTTCGTATTTTTGTTGAGCAAACGCGAGGTGTTACTATTCTTTCTTCACGATTAAGCTGACGCTTCGGCGGATTTCGCCTTCCTCAGAGCCTGGAAAGGTCAAGTTGATAGCAATCTGCTCGGCCAGACGCCTCCATAACCAAACAAAGAAACCCCAAGCCAAGATTTCAATCACTTTGAACACAGCTTTGCACACTCACCGCTTCCTATGAGGTTTCCACTAAGTAATAATTGCATAATTTGCCCCAGTGGTAGAGAAGGTGATTGCATGAGCTCGGGTATAGTTTATCTGATCTCCTGTAAAACGTGTGGTGACGAATACATTGGCGAAACGGGTAGACCCCTCTGTGTCCGCATGAAAGAACACCTAGCCGGCAAAAATAGACCAAATACCCCGCTAGGCACGCATAGGACCCAGAGACATAACGGGGACGACTTCGAAGTATGTGTCACGATCCTCGCACGCGAATCAAGAACACAGGCGCGAAAAACTCTCGAGGCACTCTGGATTAGTTCCAGAAATCCGAAAATGAACCGCAGGGAAGAATGCCTCATTATCATGCGTGATATTGGGCAGTATATAAGTCTGTTATTCTGATGGGAGGAGCACATTATACTTCCACGTGATTTCTGGCGGTTGGTCTCTACGTGACATACTTAGTGGAAACCTCATAGAAAGCGGTGAGTGTGCAAAGCTGTGTTCAAAGTGATTG